TCCTTCTTACAAGACCAGGTTCGAGACACATCACCAGGGAGAAGAACCTATGTGGCTGCTAGAATAATATAATATAATATAATATAATATAATATAATATAATATAATATAATATAATATAATATAATATAATATAATATAATATCATAGGGGACATGCCTAAGCACACCAACGTGCCTACCGTCCCTGTCCTATTGTTTCTTTTTTTTTTCTTATTCGTATCCATTTCATGTATTCATAACCACGTTTATCCTTATACCTGTTATCTAATAATCGCTTGACAAAATAAAATAAATAAATAAAATAAATAAACTGACTGAAAGCACACGGTCAATCAGTCAACATTTCTCCTTAAATTAAAACAACATCTTGTCCTAACCCTCCCACTTTCCCCCCTGGTTCCTTTTCTATGTTTCTTGTCAAAAAAAACAAAAAGGTGCTTCATGCACATGCTCTGAAGCTTCTCTGTCTTCATCCCTGTGTTAGTCTGGAATTGGAAAAAAAAATACAGATAGTTCTTAACCAGTGGTGGGATTCATATTTTTTTTTACTACCGGTTCTGTGGGCGTGGCTTGGTGGGCGTGGCAGGGGAAGGATATACTGCAAAATCCCCCTTCCCTCCCCATCCCACTAACCTGCTTTCCAGCTCCGTTCTCCTGGGCAGGGCAACCAAGGAAGACCCAGCCGATCAGCTGGGACTCAATGGGAGGCAGAGAATAGATGGGGTTGGCGGGGCCAGTCAGAAGTGGGATTGGCCGGTTCTCCGAACTACTAAAAATCTCCACTACTGGTCTTCCCGAACCGGTCAGAATCTGCTGGATATCACTCTCTGTTGGATTTTTGAAGCAACCTTTGGTTGAAGGAGACCCTTTGAGTTTGCAAAAGCGCAGAAAGATATCCCTTAAATCTCCCCTCCACTCCACCTCTTCTTTCTCAGTTTCCCTTGTTTTGATCAGGTGAAGAACTCTTGATCACAAACGAAAGGTCTCTCTCTCTCTCTCTCTCTCTCTCTCTCCCTGTGCATGAGTGAGTGTGAGTGTGCGCGCCCAAATGCACACTCATGCAATTGTTGCCATGGATATGAGGAGCAATTACACGGAGCAACAATGTTCAACCTGAGTTCTCACTGTACTTTGAAGAAGGTAGGGGAGAAACGGGGAGGGGCAGGAGAGACAAAGATTAAAATTGCAGGCACGACTGAAAATGAACACACACACACACCCCTTTTCTCCTTAACAGGGCAAAGTGTGTTCTGTCTCCTCATATTGGAACATGGGCTCCAACCTTTTGGGCTTGAGTGAAGAGGAATTGTCTTGGGCCCAAGTAAAATAGATAGATAGATAGATAGATAGATAGATAGATAGATAGATAGATAGATAGATAGATAGATAGATAGATATTATATCTTGTGGGGCCTCATTATTAGCTGGGCAGGGCCACATGTGGTCCATGGGCTGAGGATTAGACATCCCTGATCTAGAATGATAGGAGCTGGACTTTTTTGAGAAGAAGGATCCAAACTGTTCCAGGGTGGTTAGATTCCGATTCTTGTAGCAGATGACCAGACTGAGCCCAAAAGAAGAGTCAAACATGTCATCAGTCTCAAATCCCTTTGGGCCCACAAGAGATTTAAGTCCAGCCCATCTTGAGCTCCGTTGACTCTTCCCTACCACCTGTTTGCTTTAACCGTTAGTAGCTCAGATTCTTATAGAGACCTTAAGCTTACAATGAACCTTTACATTCATTTGAGCTGCCTGGGATCCCTGATTTCTCACACTTAACCGTCCCTTTACAAATAGTTTGGTACAATTTACAGATCGTGTCTGGCCATTGTTTATTGAGCAAACCACAATAGGCTGTCACCCAGTCGAATCCATTCATTATTTAGAGATGAGGCTTCCAAGGTTCATTCACTGCTCTATGCTGAAGTAAATCTGCTACAGAATACTGTAGCTTATTGAGCCGTGGTGGCGCAGTGGTTAGAGGGCAGTATTGCAGGCTGACTGATGGCTGCCTGCAATTTGGCAGTCTGAATCCCACCAGGCTCAAGATTGACTGAGAAATCTCCTTGGGATGTAGAAGGGCCCCTGGCTGATTTGGGGCCAATTGTTCACTCTCCAGCCAGCCTACCTGACAGGGTTGTGTGGGTGGAAAATAGGAGGAAGAAATACTATCTATGTTCCCTTGACCCAGTGGTGGAATTCAAAAAACTACCTGTTCTGTGGGCATGGCTTGGTGGGCGTGGCAGGGGAAGGATACTGTAAAATCCCCCTTCCCTCCCCACCCCACTGACCTGCTTTCCAGCTCCGTTCTCCTGTGCAGGGCAACCAAAGGAGACCCAGCCGATCAGCCGGGGCTCAATGGGAGGCGGAGAATAGAGGGGGCGGGGCCAGTCAGAGGTGGGATTGGCCGGTTCTCCAAACCACTCAACATTTCTGCTACTTGTTCCCCAGAACTGGTTAAAACCTGCTGAATCCCGCCTCTGCTTTTACCTTTTTATTTACTTAGCAGAGATTTAATAAATATTGGAGATGATCCTTTACATTTGGAACCATTCATAGTCTTATCAATGGAGTCTGTGCAGTGATCTATCCCTCCATATTACCTTCTGTTGCAGGAATATAATTTCTATTTTTGTTTATTTCCTAACTTTATTATTTCTATAGATAACCCAAGGCAGTAAACATACCCAATACTCCTTCCTATTTTTCCCGTAACAGCAACTCTGTGGGATGAGGCAGTGCGGCTGGCCAAAAGTCGCCCAGCTAGCTTTCATGCCTAAGGTGGGACTAGAACTCCCAGTCTCCTGGCGATTTGCCCAAAGTCACCCAGATGGTTTTCACACTTAAATCAGGACTAGAATTCACAGTCTCCTGGTGTTTGGCCCTAAATCACCCAGCTGGCTTTCATGCCAAAGGCAGAACTAGAACTTTGCATCTCCTGGCTTCTAGCCTAGCGCCTTAGCACTTGACCAGACCGGCTTTTTTTTTTTCCTTTCTGGTCTTTCTTGGTCCTCATCTGGTTAGTTACCGTGAGAACTGAATGCTGGGTTAGGGCCCCTTCGGTTTCAACCAGCAGTTCTTCTTCTGTCCTTGAACACAGCATTTTGAACCCCTGAAAAGACAATGTGGACATTAAGTGGAAACAATCGGAATCTATTCACAGGCTATTGTGCTTAACTGTAAAAGGAAAGACATACTGTGCTTGCCAATTAGCTCAGTTTTCATAGATTTATTTTCCTGCTTTTAGTTTACACTGGTTTCCATGGGTGCATTTTCCCTTTCCTCTTCCATTTTTACACCTTGAAGTGACTGGACAATAATAAGTATTTTAAAGGGCTTGAGAGCAAAATACAAAAATTATCTCTCTCTCTCTCCATCTCTCTCTTTCTCTCTCTCATCCCCTTTCTCTCACTCTTTACTTCTCCCTTTCCTTTTCCCTCTCATTTTCTCTCTCCCTCTTTCTTTCTTCCTCTCTCTCTCCCTCTTTCCCTCTCTCTCTCTCTCCCCCTCTCTTTTCCTCTCTCTCCTTCCCTCTCTTCCTCTCTCTTTTTCCTTTTCCCCTCACTCTTTAACCCTCTCTTTCATTTTCTCTCTTCCTCTTCCTCTCTCTTTCTCCCCCCCACCCCCATGCGTGTTGTGTGTGTGTAAATGCCATCAGCAGGAGAATTATGTCTTCCCTTCCCCACCTCTGTCATTTCTGGCAGCTCTGCTAGAGGGGAGGGTGGAACGCATTGTACGACTAGGGTTTAAATTTAAAGCACAATACACCTTCTCAGGAGGATGTAGGTAGAACGTTGCACAATTCCATAAAAGAAATGGGTCTCGTCACCCTATTCCCTCCCCCCGCTTCTCTTTCTCAGGCTGTTCCACCCGACTAACTTGTTGCACCCACGGGCGTGAGCCTCGCTTCCAAAAGGATGCAGATTAGAAAAGCCCCCCCCCTGCATTTATCTCGCTTTGGAGCTGGAGATTTAAAAGTTCACTTGCAAGGGACGGCTTAAGTGTACTTTTTAAAAATCCGAGGAAACGGGGCTTGAGAAAGAGACGGTTGTGGGTGGGGGGTAGGTGGTAAAAGACAGAATTGTCGCGGCGAGGGCGATGTTGGCGCCCCGGCGGGTCAGATTCCCCGACTCCCCCGATCTCCCTTTTCCCACCCTCCCCGTTTCAGATTCGGAACGCGGGTTCATAATCCTCCAGCGCGGTGATAAAAGGGCGAGGCCACCGCCGCGGTGCCCGATCTTTCTCCAGTTTACTCAGAAGTAAGTCCCAACGAGCTCCTTCTGCACTTTCCACCGGGGAGGGGGGGGTGTCTCTGTACATACTTTACGTGGGAGTAACTCCCTCCGAATGCAGGGAGCCGCCGGGGAGAGGGGGGCGGGTAGCGCCTTCCCAAAGACGCGCGCGACTCGCGGAGGCAGCGCTCAGCACCTGAAAATGCAAGAAAGCGAACCCATTTCCGAATCTTCCCACCCCCCACCCCCAAGAAAATAAAATAAAATAAAAGACGAGGGGAGAAACCGCGTTTGTTTGTTTTCCGAGGGGTGGATTCCTAGCAGGCCGGGGAGCTGCGTTCTCCGTGTACAACCAGCGCTCCGAAGTCTTCGGGGGGCCTCCTCCTTCCCAGGGAAGCGAGCCAAGGGCGTTTGCAACCTGGGGTGGGGCGTGGGCTGCAGCACCAGCCGCCGCCGCCGCCGCCTCTGCCCGGGTCCCCACAGGCATTGGTGATTTGGGGGGAGGAGGAGGCTGGAGTAGGTACAAATCCCTCCCAGCGTTTTTGCCTGGTGAAGGAGTTTGTGACTCGGGCTCTCGTCCTGGGGCGTGGAACTGGCGCGCCTCTATATAAAAAGGTTTCCCCCGACCAGGCAGACTCGGAGTTGGGCTGCGCCCCCGCGGTTGGCCCTGGGTTCGGTTCAGAGCGCATAAAGGAGGCCCCGAGCAGCGGAGCCCAGGACACAGCGCGACGCAGCGGATCCCCGGCCGGGCCGCTCGGGCGGGCGGGCTTCGCGCGCGTCCCCCCTCCTCCGTTTCTTTCCCCCCGGGGGGGGGGAGGGGGGAAAAGGCAGCGGCGGCCGCCTCTTTTGTGGGAGGGAAGCGGAGGAGGCAGGAGGAATCGATCGGGGCAGAAATTGTTCCGAAGTGAGCCGCTCCGGGAGGACTCGCCGGCCCCGGGGAGCCAGGTGAGTGGCAGCGCCCCTCGGGAGAAGCTCACGGCCGCCTTTCCCCGTGGGCTTTCGGTTCACTTTCTCCGCAGGGACTCTGGTCAGCGTTCCCGGCAAGCCCCTGCCTTGGGCTTCTTTGAAGATTCCGGTGCGGACACTCAGGGTAGACTCGGAGACTTAGCTCCGCAACTGACTTTGGCACCTGAGGTTGTTATTATTATTTGGGGGGGGGGGCGGGGGTTCTGGCGCTCCGTTTTAAGCCTTCGCTGCACACGGAAGTTCCTCTCCCGGCGTCTCTCCAGTTGCTAAGACTACAGCTCCCATCGTCCCCGCCCGTTCCTATGTGGCACGAGGCTTGAATTGTACGGCTCCCTGCAGGAAGGTACCTGTGCAGGTCCCTGCCCGCGGGGGGTGGGGGGTGGAGAACGCAGCAAAGTCACCCACCGGAGAGGGGAGGGGAACGGCGGCCGCAGGTTTTGCCCGTCGCCCGAGGCGCTTAACCCGGACAGAGCCTTGGGGGGTTTGCGCGCCGCCTTTGGGAGACCCGGTAGGCTGAGATGCGGCCAAGCCGACCTTGCGCGTTCGGCAAACTTAGCACAGAGGCGGCTGTCTTTCGGGGCGTGCGGGAGGCGCGGAGCCCAAGCCTTCCCTTGGGGACCCTACACACTCCAACCTGCGTGCCCCAGAACCGGGTGAGACTCCGGGAGTCCCGGGACCTGCTTTTCCTTCTCTAGATTTCTGCCTCTGCTGAGCTTCCTGAGCGCGCAGAGTTCGAGCTGTGCCCGCTAAGGACGGGCGTCTCCTTGAAGCTGTTCCCGCCGGAGCCCGCCACCGCGGCGCTTTGCCTTCGGCGATTTAGCAGGTGCCGCAGACTGACCTGCTCCTCCTTCCAGAATCTGGAACCCAAAAGGTTCACCCCACCCCGCACTAATCCCACCGACAGTTACTTCGGAGGGAAGGGTCAGGCACTCTGCGCGTGTTTAGAAGCACCGGCGTTCGGGGGGGTGGGGGATGGGATCCACGACCTGAAATTAAGCGCCGCTGCTCAGGTGTATCCTTTTATCTACCTGCCTTCTGCTCTGTTTTCTAAGCAAACTCGAGAAGTTCGCCCCTTGAAGCGAGCGGACGTTCCGTCCAATCTCCCGCTGGTGATCTTGGGTCCTTCTAGACCCAAGAGGCTTCTAGAACCTACAACGCTGGTTTGTCTTTTCACGCGTATTTGTGGAGGGGCCGCATTCTTCCAATAACCATCCCAGAATTAGTCTCTCCGTCCGTTAGCCTTTCCATCTGTTAGGGTATGAAAGGAAAGGGCGCGCGCGTGTATACTTGTGTGTGTTTCAGGAGGAAGAAGAGGAGGAAACTGGATCGAAGTAAAAAGAAAAAGAAAGCAACACAAAGAAAGTACTAAGAGTTTCTTTGCTTTCACGCCCTTCTTGGGGTTTCCAGAGAGCTTTTTGTGGATGGGTTTCGCGCCCTTGTTCTCCGCACCTTTGGCAGACGGGAGTTCAGGCTGGAAGAAGGGGGTTGCCCGGCGGCAAATGACAGTATTCTAATCCGGACTGAAGCCTGTCTCCAAAACGCGTTTCTGTCACGTGGGGTTGGGATGGGATTAGCCAAGGGTCCGGCGGGAGCTGCTCTGCTGCGGTCAAGTTTCTGGAAGCGAAAGTTTCTGTGATGAAGCAGCACCAGTCCGAGTCCCGGAGCTCGAGCGCTCTGCTTCGAGCAGGGATCGGCTATCGGGCGCCCTCCGGGTGGTTTAGTTTAGCCTTTCCCTCCCATCAGCTACAGCCAGCTTGGTCAATGCTCAGGGAGCGTGGAGGTTGGCGCTCCTGGGAACACTGGGTTGCCTGCTTCTGCACTGGGGTATCCAGAAAGCACCTCTTTCCGTCCTATCTTTGGGTGTTTGGAGCCTTGACATGCCTTGTTAAGGACGTGGGAGAGTGGTTTCTATCACAAGAGTCCCTAATCCGCTAGAGAAATCTGACTTTAGACCGGCAGGTTGAGCGAAAGTTGTAAATCCTGAGCTCTGCCTCACCCGCCCCAGGCAGCCCCAAATCCTGCCTTTACCCCCGGATCCCGCTACCCTTTTCCTGCCCTTCTCCTCCTTCTAAGTCGCCGCAACTCCCTCCCTCCGCTATCGGGAGTTGCGGCGGCTAAACAAGCGGGCGGGCACCTTAGCGGCACAAAACCTGGTTTGCGTTTTGTTTTGGGTGGGTTTTTGGGGCCTGTCCGTAGGAAACGAAAAAGGAGAGGGCGCGCGCTCTCTCTCTCTCGCACGATCCGTCTCTAAGGAGCGAGAGGCGGTGCTGGCGGCCACCCGGAATCAGCCTTTTCCCCCCCACCATCGGCCGCCGTGCAGATATGCGGCGGTTCCAACTCTCATCATCACCCGCAGCCGGGGAGGGCGAGGAGTAAGGTGGCCAATTACAGTCTGAAGAAGTGCCGGTTAGGTTGGGAGAGCGGCCCGAGTCTTGCGCGCCTGTCCTTTTGCGCTAAAACTTGGTGCCGCCGCACTTTCAGGACCTCGGACAGATCAGGATGAATGAGCGGCGGCGTTTGCCTCGGTTCTTCAGCCGCGGCAGTTGCGACGTGACACTCACAAACGGGTCTCTCTCGGGGTTTCGTTGGAAAACCTGCCTCCCTTGAAAACGCGTGAAAGTGGGTAGTCTTGTCTATTTCTAACCAGCAGTACAGGAAGATGTAGCAAGGTAGAAGATAGCCGTTTGGATAAGGCACCAGGCTAGAAAGCAAGGAGACTGAGTTCAAGTCCCAGGAGACTGAGTTCAAGTCCCACCTTAGAACCATGAAAGCCAGTTCCTAGGTGGCCCTGGGCCAATCACCAGGAGACTGTGAGTTCTAGTTTGTCTTTCCTCATGAAAGCCAGCTGGGTGATCTTGGGCCAGTTCCTCTCTCAGAACTCATGGTTCTTGTGGGGAAAATAGGAAGAGGAAGATGTGTTGGATGTATAGCCTTGAGCTATTTGTAAAAATATAAAGGCAGGATACAGATTTTTTAAAAAGACATACTGCTCCAAGGAAACTTCAACATGCTTTGTATACAACCCACCCTGAAACCTTAAAAGCTCTTAGTGAGATCAAGTTTTGCCTGCATTACTTTTTATGAAACAAGCACAGTCCCCAAAGTGCTTTTTTTTTTTTCAAAAGGCAACTGGACTTTATTTTTCCTTGGAGGTGTTTTGTTTCTCATCCAAGAAGCTTCTTCCATTCTGATGAAGCTTCTTGGATGAGAAGTGAAAAGTCTTCGAGGAAATCCAGTTACCTTTTGGAAGAAAAAAAGCACCTTTGGGGCAACTATGACTTGGATGACTGAGAATCTCCGTAGACAAACAAAGTGGCACCAAACCATCCTTCTCTTCTGGAAACCGCAGAAGCAGCCTGTTTATCCGCAGTATATGCTTATGGGGTATTATTGCTGATCAGGTTCACCCTCTGTGCAAAACCATGGTTTGCTAAATAAGCCACAGCCGCCTTGTTTCCACCAAACGGCTAACATAAAGGCTGGATTTCCACTACAGCAAAAACAATTAATGCAATCGGTGGTTGAGGCTGAATGATGGCTGTCTGGTCTGGGATGGACTCTCCGATGGAGTTTGAATGGAAGGCAACTGTAGTCAAAAACTAAATTCTGATGCTATTGTGGGGTTTGCTCCTAGGTGAGTGGATATCACGTCTGGGGTTTTGTGTAGACCCCAATGATTGTACGGTCAATCATAGCTTAGTTCCTACAGGAATAAAATAGTATGAAAACAATGGAGTGATTGCGTAATTCATAGACACTTTGAGGTGATGGGGAGGCAGGGAATGTTGAAGGTCCCATCCCCAAGAGAGATACACCCGGTGGGACCCAAAAGAAGGCCCTTCTCCGTGGTGGCTCTGTCTCTCTGGAACACCAGAGATTACAATGGCCCCCACTCTAGCACTCTTTCGAAAGGCACTGAAGACCTGGTTTTGCCAGCGGGCCTGGGGAACCCAGGGTGGGATGTTCAATAGGGTTTTACATTGTGTAAACTGCCTCGAGTCACCTTGGGCGAATAGGCAACAATATAAATTAATTAAATAAATAAAATAAATAAATTATCCTCCCGTGGCTGGTTCCAATTGTTGTTGATAGCTGGAGAGAGATTACGCCCTAAGTCCCTGGTCCGTGAGATGCCTCGGGGCTTCTCGCTCTCCTGTTTAACATCTACAGGAAGGCATTGGGTGAGGTCATCTATTGACCCAGAGTCAAGGATCGTGAGGAGGCAGATGACACTCCGTTGTATCACAGGGCATCTTGACTGACCAAGTGATGCTCTCATGATCTTCTCTTAGTTCCTGGAGGCTGTTGAGGTCTGGATGGGGAGGAAGAGGTTTGAAGGGGCAGAACCAAATGGGCTTGGGAGATTCTTCTGGTGTTCTGGGGTTTTCCCATCTTCCATTCTGAACAGAATTTAATTTCCTCAAACACAACTGGACTCAATGGTCCTGCAGGTGGCAATTGTGGCTGGGAAGACCTTTGCATGCTTCCATCAGAAAGGGAAGTTTTCTCACAGTCACTTATGAATGGATTGTTGCATTCATGTATCTGGGGCTGATCTTGAAAACGGTTCCAAAGATATAGTTGGTCAATGATGCAGCGGCATCCCGAGTTATAGACATACCTTTGCTTGCTCATCTAATGCTTTTGTTTTGGAACTATACTTGTTTACCAGGGAGCTTCTGGCTGGCAATTAGATACAATTGTCATGTATGAAGCCCTTCCTAGCACAGGACCTGGACATCCCAGGAACCAACTTCCTGTCATTGTTTTGTTCATCGCACAAAAACTAAGGAACTGTTTTATGTCTCGTATCTCCAGCATTGTCGTTTGATGTGGTCTAGGAAGCAGGCTTTGCTATCATAGCATCTCCCCTCTTGTGTAACCTCTTCCAAAGGTTCAAACAGCTTGGACCCTGCTATCCTATAAACGTGCCTATTTGGGCTAACTTGTGGTGCTTATGTATCTAGATTGAATTTATG